CTGAATCACCAGTGCTGGTGTGGCATTATCTGTAGGAAAGTTCAGTGTATGAAATAACTAGACTGAATAGAATCTATGCAATTACTAACTTGGTCATAAATACAGTCACTATTTCTTGATGGAGAGGAAAAAAATAAATAAATTCCATAGTGGCTTTTTCCTGTAAGAAAGGAAAACATAACCTTTCCCTGGAATAGGAAGCATAATGTTAAGTGTGTTTATAAACTTGGGCCCCAAAATGGTAAGAAACTGAGAAGCTCAAGAGTGGGGATAACGACAGTTATTTTATTTCCTCTTTATGGAAGAGGAGGAGTTTTCTTAACCTAATGAACCTAACAAACAATGAGTTTTGTTGCTTTTTATCTTGTTTTAATATTTAAGTGTTCCCTGGCAACTGGGTATTCTGGTGTGACAAATTCTTCCGCTTTTGGGTTAGAGTTAATTTAGTTGTGAATATCATTGATGTAGTATTTCAAGAAATTGTCAAATTCACTTAACTAATAATGAACATAATTTTGCAGATCCTTTAGAACCAGAAAATGCAACAGGAGGTAACCATTAAATTATGTATTTAAAGCTGCTGAACGCTTTTTTTTCAGGTGATACTTTTTGTTAGTGTGCGATATTTGAACCCAGCAAATGGCAGTTTTCCATAACACAGCAGATAGCACCGTCATTAGCTCCATTCTGAATCATTATTGCCAAGTGTTCTCCAGCCAGTGTGACACAGAGTGAAATTTGTTCTGCCAATATGTTAGCATTAACTTTCTATACTAGCAACAGCAGTTCTCATCTGGTCACTCTTGTTGTCTAATTAGGAGTGTGAAGAGTACCTTATTTTTTTAAATCCAGTTTTTATATAACTGTAAAAAGCCTTCAGTAGCCTTTGAAGTACTAAAGCAGTGTGTTAAATGGAAAGGTCTTCATTATAATTTAGCATTGATTGTATCCTCAGCTAGCTCCAGCCCACTATTTGATACAGATGATTTATTTTGTGTATAACTAGAAGTTTCTGTACATAACTACCTCAGATGGCACCGTTTTATAAAGTAACATTAAATGATGTCCAGTGTAATATGAGACAGTGCTCTTCTTTGTTCACTGGGTTTTGTTGCAGAAAGAAGTGGCTGCTCAGTGTGCTGGTAAGTTATTAATCCCCATTGAAAGATCATGAGAAAGAGAGAAGGAGGGAAACTTTTGCTGAGCGTGACAAAAATCAATACTTCTAAGTCTTACGGAAATAATTAATTTTAAACTGTGTCTGACAATGTCAGCTATGCATGCTTTAAAATGAATAATGCTAATTGAAAAGAATGGCTTATACTGCATGTGAAAAGGCTGTTTTTTTCTAGTACTACTCTAATTAAAGTCTTAATAAAAAAGTTACATGAGAATGAAATTTCAGAATAGGCTTCTTGTTAAAATTGTCAAATTTCTTAAATCCTTAAAAAAAAAAAACTTTATAAAGGTATGCTATAATATTTAACTAAATAGGAGTTCATAAAGAATTGAATTCTTGCCAGTACAGAGTGAGGACAAGGATGTCAACAAATGTGCTGTTCAGTCACATTGTGTTGACCCATGATTTACATAATATGGTATATTAAAAAACAAGCAAGTATACTCCATCAAAATGTGCTGTATAGATGATGAGGAAAGAATTATGAATGTTAATTAGGCCCTTAAGTTACAATAGCAGCTCAGCAAAATAAAAGCTTGATCAAATGAGTTGCCAGCCTGAGGATGGCCCGGAAGCTTAGTCCAGCTCTCCTGTTACGTGTCCTTTGGGAACAGTCCTAAATAGTCTCCTTTCTGGGTCCACGAAAAGTATAATTTTCCCTCAAATGTGAAGCTGTTTCTATATTCTTCTGAGAGACTTTGGGGAACAAGAGCAATCAGCTCTTAATTATAGGGGGAAGAAATACATGTAACATAATTTTTCGAGTCGCTTTGACTGTAAGCACTCTGTTTCTGGAAGTAGGCAACCTGAAAATAATCAGTTTCCAGCTTACAAATGTCTCCAGATGACATCTTGAACGTGTTTACTACAAGATGAGTCTTCTTTTTGCTCACAGTGGCTAACAGCCATTTTTCCAGAAAGTCAGTGAGTTCTTGCTCTTCTTTTAGGAAGATATAATGGGTCAAATGTCTTCAAGGCATGCAAATCCCCTGGATAGGGTAGAGTTACTTTCTGCACCTCCCACGTGCGTAGCTGGAGTTGTGATTATCTATGCCACAGGTGTCTAGTGCCTGGACTCTGAATAAATAGGTTTTAACCTTTCCCAAAAATCCTTCTAAATACACTTGATTGGTAGCAATGGCAGCTGAGGATTAGGGGGAACTCAGCCTTTCATGTGCTGGCACCATACCTCCTCCTTTCCCTTGCTTAGAGTCCAAATTCCAGCTGCTGGGCTATTTTGGCTCCCTCACTTGCTGCTCTTGGTTAGCCATACTTGCTACTAAAGGCACAAACCCTTATTCTCACTAGAGGTAACTAGTTCAAGGACACACACTTTAAACAATTTACGGCTATTCAATTTAAAGCCAGTGTTGCTGGCAATTCATCTTTGTGGCATGAAAAAAAAAAAAAAAAAAAAAAACCTGTAAGGCATCGTAGTACTTACTATACCTGGTTAGGGTGGCATACATGCTTTTCAGAAGCCTCTGTGGGACTCTCATTCTATATTTAAAGCATCCTGTAACTTAGGAAGCTATTTTGATTTGGAACGATTGCTACATTTACCTCAAGCTTCTGGAATGGGACATGGTATCCAAAATTCCAAAAATACTACATGTAACCCCAGATTCTGGTACATAGTGCCAAATCAGAATGCTCTGGTATTAGGGTGAATTTGGGCTGCCTTTTCTTGATCCTGAGGGTCACTGGGACTGTCCTGCTCTATTTGAGAATGTCAGCATTCTCTCCTTACCTAGTCATAGCTAGTTCAAAAATGGCCAAGGGCAGTTGGTACTATGGCAGGTGTTTAAAAAAGAAATAGACAGCCAAAACAAGATGTTCTCTTTTATCGGAGTTGGCTAAAATTACCTACTCTAGGAAATAAATGGACAGTCTTCCTGATGTTTTTTTTTGTCAGGAGTTGCAAAGTACAAATACGCTCCTGCCCTACTGTCAAAATTACTTTTCTGTCTAGAAGATTCTTGTTTCACTTGTTTACTTAACTGATCTAAAAAATTATTTAAGATCAAGTCCTTTGGCCAGCTACATGAGATGGGGCAAATGAAATTTCACTTTTACTTGTTTGCTTTCTTGATGACAAGAAGTGGTCAAAAGTCTTCAAGTGTTGCTGTTTTCTTGAGCAACAACAAACCAAACATCTGAACAGCAATCTCTTCTCAGAAGCCTCAGATGACTGCAAGGACAAATACTGATATTGCTGTGGCCTGTGGTCCTGTGGGAGAGCCCTAACATTGCCTCTTGGCACTCATCCTTGCTCCATGTGGGATGGCACTGTGCTGTCTCCTGCTTCTGTACGCCTAGAAGGCTGCAGTGGGCTGCCTCCTGTGCCTGCCTTTCGTTGCTCTGCCCCATACATTCTTCCTCATCGGGGTCTGCCATCTTTTCTTTGCTTCCAGCTTTCAGTGATGTTTAAATTTAGTGCACACTGAGTGGAGGAGCAAGGAAATGAAGACTGCATTTGGAAACTGAAAATCACAGATCCTTCCACAAGGTGTTATAACTTCTCATGGAAGACTGAAGGGGAAGATGGAAAGAATATTCTGGTTGAAACAATACAGGAAGAAGTTAGTTAAAAAGGGTACCTTATGGAGGCTAACAAGTGCTGTTTGTGTAGCTGTTGGGTTTCCTGTTTCTCTGATTACACACGTTGCTGTGTTAAATAGTCTGTTACCCTGCGCTGGGGAACCCAAGCTGTAGCTAATCTCAGTATCATTTCTGTGTTTAGAGTGAAATGTATTGCCATGGAAAATTTTTGGAAGACCCTTTCCTCTTTTTACAACTGTGCATCCTATGGACCACAGTCTAATGTTTTTGTCCTGCTCATCAGCAATTCCTTTCTTTTGCTACATTTCTGCAGAGCTTCAGTTCCTGACCCTATAAGACACAGCTTTAGATTGCTATCTACAACCTTTTCTCTGAAGAAAATCTGCTGAATGTGGGTAGTAGGACATGTTTCTTTTCCTGAAAAATACTAACGGGTGGCCATTGTGAACATTTCCACCTTTTCTTAGCAGTAAACACAGTTAAGTTTCACAATATGGGAACATGCTTCTTTTTTCTCAACCTGTGTTGTGTCTTCTGAGGCTAACATAATCCACTTGATTGTGTTTCTAGAAATTTTTCTTTAGGAGACCTAAAGAAATATGCAAGCAAGCAAAATAGATTTTTTTTTTTTTAAATCTGCCCTGAAGAGTAACAGCAAGCTTTTGTGGAAAATGTGCCCTGTGAAGATGTACATCTGTGTCCCCAGTGTCAATGGAAAGACCCCAATGACTCATATAAAAAAGGCCTGGATCTTCAACACATAAAGATCTAGCATATTTCTTCTTTTACACAGTATAATATTATGCTTCAAGCTTTGGAAATCAGACATAAATAAGGGGAGGGGGGGAGGAGAGGGAGGGCAGGGGGCAACAGAATAAACTTTTCGTAAGCTCCAAAGAATTTGAATTAATTCAGTTTTATTTGTGGTTTCATATAGACCTAATTCTAATCCCTTTCCCAGTAAAAATAGGATGAAGTTGCAGGATTAATAATTTATGTGAACAGGGTTATTGTCTGGAAGAGCATTGAGCAAAGAGCCTTAAGTTTTTCCCTATGTGTACGTGACTTGTCAGAGAGCTTATCCAAGCTTGTGGGAACATTCTGGGGAGAAAATTCATCACTTCCACAATATTGAATACATATTTGCCAAATGATTGACAAGATGAGGAGGTGGTATATCATTTCTTTCCGCATCAAGGGACTGTCAGCGAATGAAACCAAAACTAGAACTTAGCTGCTTTATTTATCCCTTGAACAGGTGCAGTACAAGCAGCTGCAATAAGATCTTTCATACACTCCACCCACAATTCCCTGGAGTTCATGTGTCCTAAAGACAACCTGGAAAGGAGGCAGGACACTCTGGTACAGTATTATAGTATTATATTTTATAAGTACAGTGCGAGATGCTGATCCTTCCCATGGGGAAGTTCTGGAACTCAGAACTGGATCTGAGTTTCTTGCTGTGATATGTCTCTTTCTCTTGCCACAATGAACATTTACCTCAATTATTAATTTGTTCTGAAACTTTTTTTTTTTGTTTTAATAAAACTCAGTGTTGCCAGGAAACAGGACAAAGGAGCAATTGTAAAATAATTTACCACTTAAAATGATTTGCCTCATGTTAACTGGACTTTCAGTTAATTATTTCTGAGGAAAGCTTTGCTAAGAGGACTTGCAAATAACATTACCCTTTTGGACTAAATTTAGTCTTGATCCTCCTCCACTGGTCTTGGAAAATATTATATTGGATCCCAACATTAAATGTGTTTCCAGTGTTAGGAGGCCAAGGAAGGTCTCATGTCAGGTAGCTGATTGGTAAGCATCCTTGTTCAATGTGTAGAAAAACAGGTTAGGAAAAAACTTTATTTTTTTTTGGCATTTAATTCTAGAACATTTACAATGAATGTGCTGGCTTGAAGGTCAGCGGTCCTTAGTTTTAATAGTCTCCTACACTGCCTGTTCTTAGCTGCATCTGAGAGTAATGGCTGGTCCATATATCCTCCCTGATACGACAGTGTCTTAGTGCCTATTAATTCTGCAAAAAGAGGTAGTATAGGAAGAACTCTTTAAAGGATTATCTTTTTCTGCTGCAGTTCAACTATTTTTATAATAATGAAATACGGATCAAGGATTATCAAGAAAACAAACAAACAAACAAGAAAAATAAATTCCCAAAACCTCTCTGAAAAAAAGAGGAGTGTGTATGCCATATTCTGTTCATATCCTCCCACTGATGCTATGGTTACATTAATGTGATACTCATTAAAAAATAGTTTACTCAGCGTGTCATAAACTAAAACCATTTTTCTGCCTGAATTCTGACTCGCCAACCAAGAGCTGGTGGTGACCACCTTGAGGTAAAGTTGAAACATCAAATAATTTCCCAATATTTATTTGAATATTTTCATGTATTTTTGTGATTCCATAATATTAAACACTCCACATCCCTATTTTCATTTGTTTTGTTTTAATAAAAGGAGATCAAATAATAGCATGTTAGTTCACAAAGATATCATCACATCATGAGAATAGATGAAGATGGTGATTTTCAATGGTGTATTTTTAGTTGAGTTTAATTCTATATTTTGGGCTGGTACACAAGAAATATTCTCTCTATGTCTTCTTCTGAATATATACTGCATATGATTTGTGTATATGTCTTTGGATACAAGTGGCCTATAGAAAAATCTCTCATGCTTTATTCTTAAATGTCTGTGTTGAACAGACCCCCCCCATGATTTATATATATATATGTATGTACATATACATACACACATACCCTTCCCTCTATCAGTTGTCACTTACCATCACTTACATTTTGTCCTATTTATTTTGCTGTGCTACCAGAATCAGTAAAAATCTAGGCTGTGCTGATGGTGTCTTTTTACTTTGTCCAGTTTAATTCATTTAACATTCAGTGACACCTGAGACTTGGATTTGTCTCCTAGCTCTAGTGCTTTGTTTCTTTTTCTAGTCTTTTTGTCTGCTTTGCCTAGTTAGACAATAGTTTTTTTGGCCATCAGATGGATTTACAAAGCCTGTCCAACAGGCTCTGAACTTGTCAGAGTGGGGCACTGCTGTGACACCACAAGCAAAGAGCCATTGGTTTGGTTGTGTCTCTTGATAGTATTTCTCTAGTGATTTGCCTCACTTTGTGTTGCAAATAGGTTGCACTGTTAAAATTCTCAGTTAGTTAACGGGAGAGGGCCACATCACCTTTAAGGAGAGCTGTCTGTAAGCTGTTCTTAAAAATTGATAATATGATTCTTAATCACTATTTAGCCTTGAACTATTCTGTTCACTTTCTGTGAGCCCTGACATTGTCTTGACATTGTCTTTTTCCTTTCTGTTCTTACCTCTGACACTTCCATTTTATATTTTCATGGCTAATTTTCATTGCAGAGACTAGTGAGAGAGAGACTAGGACAGGTCTGTGGTTTTGGATTAAAATATACAGTGTCAGTTTTGTGATACGAGCACACGACGTTAAGGATGACATGGTAACCTTTTTGCTGGCTTCCCTCCAACCCACTCCCATCTATAAGCATGGTTATGTCCTGTTAGTGCAGACCTAAGTAAGAAGTAACTGTAAGGCTGGACGAAGATTGGAACTGTAAACTTATTCCAAGGTAGTAAGGTTGTAAACAAGATATGTGTGTACTAACAGATACCTAGAAAACATGGAAATTACTCTGGTGACTTGTATTTTACAAACCTTTCACTTTCAAAGCATTCTGTAATATCCTGCTAGGTGTGGGACAGTATGTTGAGGTTTAAGTTTGGATTGAGTGGTGTCAAGAGAAATGAGAGGGTCAGGTCTGAAAAAGGAGAGAAGGCTTTAAGCCTATATGCTGGCATAGGGCCACAAGGAAGAAAGTTCAAGCTGTACCTGGCACCTACCCTGCTGTAAGAAAGCCTCGTATTCTAATAAACACAAGAGTCATCTATTTTAATTTAAACAAGGATGCCTGGAGAACAAAGAGTCCTGTTTTCCACTTCAGTGCTTGCTCACTTTTTTTATGCTGGGGCTTAGAACAAAGTTTTTGTGTTGATCTGTATGTTATTTTATAGTAGTTCTTGGGTTGGCAGTGAGAAGAGCAGTTCTCCATATGGTCTAATAAGTGATATTTCACTTTGAATATTTTGAATGGGGAGGGGGGGAAAAACACTTCTGAGAATTGTGAGAAATGATTGGACCCTTAGAGAACCAAAGCTATTCAAGTCACAAGTTTAAGTAGTGTGTAGAATATAATTAAAGAATCCTTTTGGATTCACATACTTAGGAATGCTACTGTCTCTGCCCAATTCCAAATGTCAGATCCCCTCTTTTTTTCTTACTTTGATAAGAGTATGGAAGTATGGACTGAGTGAGATGCTATTGTTGGCAAGCTTTTGATAGACACTCCTGGAATTTCATTGCAGGAGCCATGACTTCTGTTTTATCTGAAATCTCACTGGCTCTTGATGACAGACAAACTCTGTTTTTAGCATTGCACTGAAGGTCAGGCAAATGACTGGTTTCCAAACAGAGTAACTGAAGATACTGGAACGTATTTATTCCTGGTATAATTCCACTAGTTCTATGAAGTTACAGGGGAAATATATTTGTAAAGACCCTTCAGAGTTGAAGGACAATACTCCTTAGTCACTTGTGTTAAAAGGAGGTTGGGGAAAAAAATATGATTTAATGTAAAAATAAAATTATTTCTGCAAGAGAAATGCTACATTCCCTAAAATAAGAATAATATATATATATTTTTAACCTGGTTTAAGCCAACACCACTCCATTAAGGATACTGAGCATCATGGAATATGCTTTTTTTTTTTTTTTTCTAATATCTGAAAATCTAGCTTGAAAAGTTTTAATCTAAGAGCTAGGCTCGAGGTTTTCTGTCTATATATATATATATATTTACCTTAAGGTTAATCTAGGAAATACGTACACTGCGTAGGCTGCTTTCCTTGTGGCATTTGGGATGTTTCCATTATTTTTCACACATCTTTAATTTTAGCTACAGTTTTGGTGTACCTCATGTCTATAAGCTGGCTATCAAGTAGACTGGTTAAATATTTCATTTCAGTTTTTGCAGGTTATCCTTGACCTTAATTCATAGGTAAGGCAATAAACTTGTTTTGCAGATGGGCCAAGAAAAGTCAGTAGTAATTTGTGAAAATGAAAACGAGATGGTTTTACCAGGAACGGAATCATCAACATCTTTGTAGAGTGCCATTACAAAGGCCAATATTGTTAGAAGCTAGAAAGAAATTTTTATAAAGCTTTGTTGCACAGATCACAATATTATTGAAAGTTTCCAAATGATGATGAAAAGTGGAGGAGCATATGTGTGTTTGTGATTGTAGGAAGTGTATGTGTCAGCAGGGAGGTATAACTATGGCTAACAAGGAGGTGCTCCTCATCTACTTTGTCAGAGGGAATTGATCAGTCTAGGTTATGGACACACGAAGTCGTAGATACAGAGAGATCTCTTTGTTGGTAAAAGATGTCATGTTTTATGCCACTTCATAACTGAATGACTAGGACTATCATTGATGACCAGTGTCCCATGACACTGGGAGTTGGTGCAAAAATTAAAGATGAATTTTTTATCAAGACATCATTATCAAAAATGTGAAATGCTAATGTTTTTACTTTTTGTGTAATAAACGTACATTTAATTTTTGCAATTCTGTGGCAGAAATGTATCCTTTAAAGCTCCAACAGTGTTTTTAATACTTGGGTCTTAGTTCAGCAAGCTTTTGCTTTAGAGGGCAAAATGTTTCTTTAATAGCAGATACCCTAGTAGTCATAAAGTACAAACAGCTCTTACCATAATGAGGCAAGATTTCTTCGATTTAGCTTAGCTTTGACTCTAATGCTGTACCCCAAAGGCTCAGCTTTTCCAAACCTTTCATGACATATGCTTTTTAAACCCATAAAACAATTCTGCACTCACTGTATACCCTGTGTTCTAATGTCAAAGCAAATCTGTGTTCTACTTGTGGCACCTGCTGTGGCACATACTTCAGCTACTTCAAGGTAGTACTGAGCATACCACCATACTGAAAGTCCTGTCAACATAGCTGTGATAAAGCCCCTTTGGAAAATGTATAGCTTTACCCTGAAATCATTTATCATAACTCATAAGGGAGAATTAATTAGCATTTAGTCCTTGTAATAATTTGGATTGCTGCCCTTCATGAAATAGGGGCATGTATGTGTAAGTGCAAGCCTCATACAGAATGGGAATGCTTTCATTTTTAACAAGGCAAAACAAGTTCTGATACAAAGAAACTGAATTTTTTAAAACAACTAAGTGGTTGGATGTATTAATGAATGCTGTTGCACTGAATGTTCCTAAGTC